AGAGATGGTATTATTAATATTGACATGACATCTGAGAATTTGTATTCTGTCTGCCGGACAAAAATTCGATAGACCACTTGTTGTCGTTATGCCAAGAAATATGTCTACATTTGTCTGAACAATGGAGCTATATTTAATCTTCGATGTATACAGTAACTTCTACAAAACTCAAATCCTTTGGACGTAAATAGCAAATGATTTTTGGAATCCAAAGCGTACTAATTGTGTTGATATTTGTATTTATATTAATTAAGTAGATGATGGCATAACTTATTCGAACTTTAGATTGACTGATTTAATAATTCTGTCATGCGCTTTAATTGGTTTGCAGAATCCTGAATAGGCGCGCACTTTTTGGACTTGTATACCAAAATGGAATAAAATGTTATTTTGTTTGCTTAACCCTTTTTCTTAAAAATAAGTGTATAATTCTGCCCGGTATAACAATAGTATGTCGAATAATATTTGTAGTCATATACAATAAGGGATTCCCTATTTAATGCTGCTTGCAAAAAAAAAAAATATAAAGTGCGCAACTTGTCTTGCTAAGTCCAGTGTAAAATGATTGCAAACTTTACATCAGAACAAATTACACAAAATATTCATCTACTGGGCGTAAATCCCCACACATACATATTTCTACCATCACAACGGCATATGCCTCACTTACTAATACTGTTCACAAGACAAACGACGCACCACAAACAGACCAATAACCACTCTTTAAACGTAAAACAAGGCCTTTGGGACCGACTGGGCACGCTGCTGAACAGTAACTTCTTCTCCAAGTTGAAGCGGCGATGGAAGATCGAAAAGTCTAATCAGTCACTTTTAGTTGAAATGGATTTAAATACAAGAAACCTTTGCAATCTCTATCCTCTCCATACAAATAAATATGCAAATTTCAACTCCCGTGAAACTAACCTGGCGGTTACTAGCCTGTACACCTCATTCTCTAAGTTTTGGGCTTGGACACCTTACAACATGAGTGGTCACGACACCGTCAACTACTTGGTGAACGAAAGGTTAAGCGAGGCAGAATATGGGCAAGAGAATAGACAAATAATGTCTATCCGTCAGAACTATCGCCGACGATACTCCAGCCATTTAATGCAAAACAACTCTTGTGTCTACTGCGCGATGGCTGGAGGCTTTGTCGTCCTATAAGAACACCGTTTTTTAATTATGTATAAGATTTAATATTTGTTAAATTTAATAAATTTAAAAATGTAAACAAACTTTTCAAATGTATAAAACTTGAACAAGCAATATTTTAATGTTTGGCCAAAAATTTTATAAAAAAATATATCATAACAATTTTAAAAATTATTGCGATTCTTTATTTAAAGCAAATAAAAAATTATTATTTTTTTTTTTAAATTATTTCATCATTATCTAACAAAGATTTGCACTGTAAATTAAGCAATATTTTAAATTCAAGTAATTGGTTAGTTAAGCATAGAATATTATTCCTCAGAAATTAAATACGTGTAGTGTTTCAATTTAGTCGATATATAATATAGCTCTGAACAAGCATGTGACAAAATTATTCAATAAAACATATTTTTGTCTTTTTTACAACAACAATTATCTTGTAAGTGTAGACATCAAGTCATTAGTGCTTATTTTGTTGAGGAGCACAAGAAATAAAAGAGAATTTTGCTAGATTTAAAGACGGTGTTTGGAGAAACGTTACTAAGTTGTGCTATTGGTGTCTGTGTTAATGTTTCGCACTCTGTTTGTCTTGAAAAAGTCCAAATACACTTTATCTGAATGAAATCGATGTTACACTGTATTTATTTATAGATAAAGTTTTATTTAAAAACTCGCTTTTTAAGTTAAATGTTGTCAGCGGTAATACCATAGGAATATATTCGGCACAAGTAGTCATGATACAGACAAGGAATTGAGTTTCTCTGTAACTAGTAACCATATAACACAACATTAATATTTGTTTTGACAATTTTTAATCTTGATATAAACTTTCTTATTTTGTGATATTTCCTCGTTTATCGTATTTGCAGAAAAAACTAGGCGATAGTTCGGCATGACATACTGTATTATGTCTACTCAATCTCAAAAAAGAATACAATCTTGTGTTAGTTTACAAATATTTTCTTGACATAAGTGTGATTGTGGCAGACGTTGTTCTCGTCGTCGTTAGTTTTATGTTCGAATTATCGGTACTTGACCTAATATTATAATCGAGTCTCTGAGTTTTCTGTTACGTCACCAAGAATGTCTCATAGTTGTATTTATGATATAGGCGTTATTGATATTAAATAAAAGCATTATCTCATGCAAAACAATGTATTGTAAAACATTATATGAAATAATCTAATTGTCACTGTAACGGAACATCCGCAAGGTCAATAATTATAATTCATAAACACCTTAACCGAAGATACGTGGTCGATTGACATATTGAAAAATTTTATTATTGATAAATCTAGTAGTCTTATTATTGACAAGGTTGTATTAAACAAATTTTACTTTATTTACATTAGTATTAGTTACCTGTCATATTGTTCAAGAGAACAGTGCGTATCCACCTTATACTAATAAATGGTTTGGCCATTGTATTTATATTTATCACCTAACTGTTTGTCAAAATACGGTGGCAAGCGGTGCCGCAATTACTAAAAGGTCGGCAGCTGCGAGGTAGGACCAGTTGAACCCAGTGGACCAAGCAGTGAAAAGTTATTGACTGGTACTATAGAGGTTATGGAATTGAATTAATTGACGAGGAAATTTACTTTCGCCATCCTTGTATTAGACTACTTTAAATTGTATACACAGTTTTATATTATTATAGCACAGTTACTTCGGCATTCATATTGTACATCACATTCGAATAATAAAATTATCAGTTATTTTTTGTGTATGTAAAAAAAAATTTATTATATGAAAATTGAAAACATGTGCTGATAATAAAGCCAAGTAAAAGTAGGCGAATACAAATATTTAATTAATCTTTTAAATATATATATATTTTTACTTATTTAACTGGCCAGTTGACTTGGAAGGAGCTGTCCGTGCTTTAAGGCATTGGGGTCGTGTGAAGTGTATTTCGTATTTCTACTGATACCGCCCCAGCCCTCTGACTTAATTCTACGATGCCAAGAGTCCATATTAGATCGACAAGAAGCCGGCCATTCGTGATTGCTTCTTATCCACAAATGAGATTATTCTTTATCTCATGTTGTTTTCTTGTTCATATCCTTTCACTTCAAAATACTGAAACCCACGCTTGACAATGGATTGCTTAATTATTAACAATATTATTATTATTATGGTCTGAGGGCTGTCTCGTAAGTGACAGAGACAACTGTCAAGTGCCTCGGATTGAGGACGATACTCCAGACCAAGTGCATTGAAATTAAATTTCAAGTTTTGCGCAAAGTCGACGTTTCTATAAGAATATGACAACGAGAGAAGGTCAATCACAAAACTGCAAAAACTACTGTCACTTGTTAATGAAAACGTCTCTACTTACTGATTTGTGGGTTCCATATTTTTTATTTTAGTCTCTCTTTGTTGAGGCTTGCAAATTACAGAATCCATCTTTACGAGTAACTGAGAATCGGCAGCTGCTTTTATTTGACCGGCCGTGATGTGGTTGTACGACATCACTCGATTATCAATGCATATTAATATTAATATATGTAGATAACACCTGAACTTGATAGTGATCAAACTTGTAAGTGTTGTATAATCTGACATTGCATACCATACGATGTATGTACATATGAATGTATTTAAATATAATGGCGAAGGTGTTATGAAAAGCGTCCTCAGAGTTCTAAACTCAAGAAATTCATCTATTTGCAAAACTCTGAGATAATCTACTGTCTGCATCAGTCGCTCATATTATTTTCCAAAAATCGAAAGTGGCTGAATAAAACACTAGACAATTTGCTCATCTGCGGTTACTCTACATCGATCAATGACCAATCCAGCGTGAGTATGCTGACAAACAACATTATCGAGACATCGTTTGAAAATAAACATGGCTTTTGTGTACATCTTCAAAGAGATGCCCTTTATGATGCGCTAAATTTGGATTTGATTCTGAACGTTCTTCCGTTACATTTAACGTATGTCAACAAATTTAAGTTTCTCGTACTCCTATCTTACATGCCAATATATACGTTATCGTTATCATCGTCCTCATTATTACTATGTAATACAATAATATTAATTTGATGGCCCTAATATTATTGATGTTAAAAATACTATGTCTATGAACCTCACAATGAATGCTTATCGAGGCCTCCGATTTCAATCTTGAATATGTTACATCATTTCAAATTTGGGTGCACATCTTCTATTGCTATTTGAAGTGTACTTATCAGAGAGAATCTTATTCGTAAGCAGTAAAATAAAGAGAGAGAAAAAGAGAATCTCACAAGCACAGTTTGATCGTGCGATTAATAACTGATTACATGGTAAACTCCATTTCATAGGTGTTGAAATATGAAATTCATTAATTAAATATATTGGAACTCAGTATTAATAATAGTACTGTTCAAAGCGAGAATAGAGCCCCACAATACGGCTTAACTATTACTATATGTCTGAGCCAATTATTCTTGGTGAGGGGTTCAAGAGGTTTGTATAGAATTTTTATTTACATAATTTAACTGTTCCATTCATTCAAAGTAATCTCCTTTAGCCTCTATATAACATATCAGCCATCCACACCAACTCTGAAAGCTCTCAGAATATCTTTTTGTGGTATGCTATTGGTTATTAATATAGAATGCTCTTGGATTCACTCAAGCACTTTCCACCAAGCTCCTTTTTAATTTTGAAAATGGAAAGTAGTCGCACAGAACTAGATGAGGACCCATAAAAATGGTGAGAACGCAATATTCTTCCCAAATATATATAATTTAAAACTTTCAGTTAAAATAGGCATGGCTTTCTGAATATGTTAATGCTAACTGGGGGGTTATTATTAATACTATTTTCAATAATAAATAGTATTATTAGCATGTTCGAATAGTGTTTTATTCCTCTAACAATAATTTGCTCTTTGTATTATCATCGGCCTTTTTTCATTCTGACTGCCACCAAGAATAGATTATCTTTGGGTTTTGCGAGTAAATTTTCTATCATTGTTAATAGACAAGTTTCTCGACAGCCATCAAATTAAAATGGGTTATCATTAATTATAATTGAGCGTGACCCGAGCTTTAATATGGTTATTTTTACTAAATGAAGGTAGTCAGAAGTTGCTGAGATAATTACACTGTGTCAAAACTTTTTGAACCCCACGTATATATAATACATACAATATTAATATTGGCAATTTACAAAATATAGCTAGTAAGTTATGATTGTTGGAAACACGCACTTATTTAGAGAGAAAACCTGATTGGTTGCCTATATTGATTTAATAGGATGATACATCATAACCCCAATTAAAAATTCTGCGCCGTGTGTTTACCATGAGGGAAAAAAAATTTATTTAGCTTATGGTAATATTAATAATAATCATTTGCCCCTTTACTTTAGGGTTGTACTAATATTAATATTCAACTTTGTGGTCAATAATACTCTTGCCAATATATGATTGTTGTTTTGAGATAAGCAACACTAACGTTGCACAGTGAATGCCGAATATGTAGTGACTGTCAATATATTGATATGCGGCAACGAGCTAGGCGAGTACTTGAAATGTCAGATAAGACATCTGCCCGCAAAGGAAATGAGGTTGTAAGGAATCCTACTTACCCTACCGGATCACAGGATAGTATTGATCTATTCACTTTTTAACGAGATTTTTATTTGTCAAATAGGACATCTGCCGGCAAAGGAAGTGGCGGTGTAAGGAATCCTAGTAAAGGCAAATCGCAAGATGCAAAGTCTGGACAGTATTGATGTATTCACATTTTTGCCGTCAGTTAACGAGATCCTTGATATCCCATTGTTCTAGTCTCGGCACTGATCTAATTCTTGCACACTTATTTAGCTTCTCGGCTGATCTGAAATAATTCATGTTATCAGCTATATTTTATAAGGGACTGGCAGCGATTTGCACGGTTATCTATCGTTTGCTCTAATCATCTTCTTACTTCTGTATAGTGAGATGAATAGCATTCTCAATAGAATCTTCAATAAACATCTACTAGAGCGATGACAGCAGTCACGTACAATGCTGAAGAATGAATATAGATTTTGTTTACAATACAGACAATTAGCCAAGTACGGGCATGGAGAGATGTTGCACGTTGGATTTTGGATGATTACGGCAAACAACTATCTACATGAAACGGTTGAATCAAAATAACCCCTTTATCAGAGTGTGGACAATAAGCAATTATCTCAAACCCATCAAGACATTTATCGAACGTAATGATAAGGATTATATATATTGGACATTATACAGATGGATCGAGCTACCAAGCCTCACGATAAGTTGCGTCACTTTGAATAATAGTTATCAGCCTCTTCAATGAAATTGTTCCTTGTTCTGCCAATTATCCTAATTATTCACTTCCTTCTTTGAAAAGTTCTCGAATCTTAAACAAATCTACACCATATCGATATTGCACCCCCTTTCCCCTATCAAATCCCACATGCCATAAACACATCTTTAGCATCGCTCAAAACCCCGCTCCATTATCCTGGAAAGTAGAGACAACGTTATTAGCACTCTCCACAGTAGCTAAAGCCCATTCCCCATTGTTGCGACTCAGTCATAACTGCATGCCGTTCATGCGATCTATTTACCTGCTGGGTAATTGGAAGACTTCGGTCTGAACTTTGTGATGCTTGGTGCAGAGCCATAATAGCCCGACCTCTGTCCATTCACGTCAATAAAGCATTGAAGTGATAGCATCTGGATGGAGAAAGTGAAATTTCTGCCATCGGACGACAATTTTTGCCCTTATAAGCGATCAGATGATTGCGTTACCGTACTTTCCCTTTCGCGACTCAATACCACTCAATCAATGTTCAAGGTATGAGGCAACGTTTTCAACTTTCGCATTTTGCGTGCTTACTCAGGTTTCTCCCGAACACATATCTCATTACTTACCCGCTTCATGCAAACAGTGTTGCTGAATCTTATCATATCGCGTATTAATTGCATTGCACTTTACATACTGATACGCCACCCTAACATCAAAAATATCTCTGATGGATTACCCGAGATAACAGAGTCAAATAAATACAGTTCTTCACCAGTCGAATGACCAACGTAATATGTTGTGTTGTGACCCGATTCCGGTAATGTCAAGTTCTTGATATGGATAATCGTGAATTCAAAAGTGTAGTTAATGCGTGACCACTTGTGCCATAGACTAACTGAAGAAGGCACGAGAACTGCGGTAGTTAAGCTTAAGCCGAGAAACTGCCGTCATCGCCATCCAACCCATTCTGTAAAAACAATGAAATCATTATTAGCTGAATACCCACCGATAACACACATCAAGCTTTTTTGCGCTGCAATAGCTGCGTATATATATTTAGAATTTACCAGTTATATTCTGTCTCATAAAGCGATGACACGCACGTCTCATAACTTTGGCCTAGCAATTACGATCCTCATTGCGAAATGCATTCTGTAAAAGGCATATAGATATCGATATGTTAACGCATGCGTGCTTAATAACCCGGTTACACATTTTACCAGAAATCACATTCCATCTCTGCTTCTAAGCAAGCAATGCGAATCACAACTTGCAAGTCCACATACCTATTCTTGGCGGTTTGCTACTAGTCACCTGCAAATCAATCTTCCCATTCTCTGTTTCAGAAACAAGGCAAGTTCACGGTTGACCTGATACGTCATCATACGCGTTCAGTCGCGAAATCATCATTACTTTTTCCGCTCTTCGGACCGCAAATTATCAAGCATCGTACCTTTCATGAAGTGATGCACGCATAAAGTCGTTGCGGTTGCCATGTCCAGCACTGTTAATTGGCGTTTCCACAATGAAATGCCGCAACCGACACGCAAGAATGCCAGTAACGTCACTGATTGCAGTAAGCCTATAAAACCTAAAGCCAGCGTTGTAACATAAAACAGTGAAATTAATATTGCATAACGGCAGACAAATCACATAATAGCTAATCAATATTTGGACGAAATCACCTTGAAGACATCAAAGCATCTGAAAATTAATATTACTAACTAATCGACAACAATGCATGCATGCACCAAAAACTGAAGCGCTTACACCTAATTACCTTTCATCCAAGATTTTATGAAACCACAGCGCAAGTCAATCTGGTTAACAAGACAGTATGCACTTCAACTCCTTTGGCACAGTCGTCTAGAGTTTCTACACTTCGCTCGCAGTCAATCTTCATTCTTTGGTAGCAATGCACATTTGCTGGAAATTAGGATGCATATATCATCAAGCGCGTCCTGTTAAGAATAATGAAAATCAACGTTTGAATCATATTTGCGCAATCAAAACATCACCAACTTTGCCGCATACTGTGTGTCATCGTATGTCCCTCTCCGATTTATTCAAATTAAATCCAAAATCACGCGTGGTAACATGATAGATGATCAACTAATAATGACAATAATTATATTAATATTCAGACTTCCGAACGTTGAAACACTGACGCATACGTTTATGTAACAATGCAAATACGGTAATAATTAAAAGGACTTTCGAAGTAAATAACTCCTGTGACAAGTGAGATGTTGTCAAATGTCTATGACAAGAGCTTGTATTCGCGTAGATTTTGGCGTAAGCTTAGCAGACGTTATATGGATCAACTTTAATAGCTTAATTATAACAGCTATTCTATGTGCACAAAGGTGCTAACCAAGAATAAACAATTTACACATTCTAATTGTTTTAACAAATAAGATAAATAGGTACACAGTACAAAAAGCCGAATGAAATTCGTAAAATCAGCCCGTAATTGTTTCATTCTTTCATTCGAAAAAAGGAAGACTCCTCATGGACATCAAGCAACGCGAATTGATGCTCAGAACGCTGACACAAGCTCAGCTTGCCACTGAGAAGATGAACGCGATGAAACCTTGGATCATTTTGACTCCGAGCATCGCGAATGAACTATGGAAGAAAGAAAACTCCAAAACGAAGAAGCCAGCTTTTACTTTTTTATAAAGATAACTCGAATACAAGAAGCCAAATTACCGAACCGAACGTTTGTCTTGCAAAAGGCATGATCCTGCAGCAGGGCCAATACGAAATATTGGAATACGGTCATGACATGGACAATTTTCTGAAGGACATGCAATGAGGGAAGAATAAGAGGGACGTCCAGAAAAACGGTATGAACAGATTTATGTTACCGGTTTTGTAGAATTCGATAGCTTAGCGCTATACTGCCTATCTGAATTGATTATAGTATTGATAAGAGGAACTTTGATAGCTTAAAGGCTAGCGAAAATTGGAATGTCGGGAGAAATGAAGATCTGAATAACATTATCAGCAGAAAGACGATCTTGCTCGCTGTCAGCGTTGTGTTGTGAGTTAACCATAAGACATTATTTACTTGATCGTTGAATGTCGATACATCAATAAATGCTAATATTACACGTGCCATTGTTCACTTCCTACATATACGCTTTTTTTTGGTGTCAAGCGCACGGTATTTTTCAATGCATTGTACTCTTTCCGATAACTTTCTTATCCATGTATCCTTCATTTCAATACGGAAACTGACCTTTCCCTACTTTTTCGACCCGCCTCCAGTTTTACGCAATCCGAACTAGCATGTTCCGGATTGTTCGTTTAGTCAGATTAATTTGCTATTGAGCATCATGTCACTTTATTGTGTGTTAGATTCACGCGTAAATTGGATAGATGGCCCCAGATGCTCGATTAATCCAGAGAGGTATGGTTAACGAACATGACTTACAAATTTCTATTACCCACATATAAATACGCTTCCCACCTCGAATTCAATTTCCAGATATTACTGATGATAATAATAAGTCTCCTTAAAGATAATGAACAATATACTCGTTTATTTTGTACAATAATAACGGTAGTTATAACTTTAAAAATGAGATAAGTAAGAACAGTTAATGAACCCGACAAGTAACAACTCATTTTAATTTACTGAAAAATCATATTACAAGACTGTCAATTTTTCAACCTGTACTAGGAAAGGCACGGTACAAATGTGAAATGAAAAAGAACGAGTCATACAATCAATTGCAATTTTGTATAACTGAGCCCTTGTCACGACAAGGAATACCGCGCGTGCAATAGGGAATAATCAAAGGAGAGACTTGCTTTCTGGTGTTCAGAAGATGGATTTCCCCAATAAGTACAGGCAATGTGTATTGCTAATTATTTATTCTCAACCTGAATTTGAAAAATTCGTTAAGATAACTATGGGAAGGTGCGTAAATCCAAATATATGCGACCAAACTTTACATGTAATCCCATACTGACGCATCAACTGTGATTTCTAATGTTTATTAACTGCGGAAAAACCAGAACAATCTAAATTATGATAAGACGCATGCGGTTACGCGTTTCTGAAAAAATTGAAGCACAATATGTGTCAGGATCCTGCCGTCACATTCCAATTTACGGTACTTATGTACGGATGGCAACACAATGCACGTGATTGAATTTCCCCGAACTGGAGTAATCTTGGTATTAATCCGACGATTAGTATTAGCGTACTTTCTTTAAACCATGAAAACTATTCATTCGAAATTCGGGACTAATGGATTGAATATCAAATGGAATTTTTATTGACAATATCAAGTTTGATATTACATGAATAAGAAGTATAGTAACGATATGTGAAAGAGAATAATGAGATGAAAAGAAATACATCCGTTTATAAGAATTCTGCCTACTAATGACAATGTCCCATATCTATTCTATAAACTAATTAAAATCTCGATTAACGTACCAAACAACCAACTTCAATAACAAATCCACCCGCCCCCGGATATTTTTCTTGGCAGACATGACTATTGAGTCTGCCTGCCTGTAACAAATTGGAGCCTCTGCTCGCTCCAATTTTACTCTTCTTCCTTCCGTTTCCCCTCCAATTTTCGTCTTCCTCAACGTAGAAAATTACCGCCTCGGCAAAGGATTGGGTTGATCATTGCCAATGCGAGATAAAAGGCTCCGGCCAATTCTTCTTTTCCTCGACCCGTGAGGTACAAGGAAGGCTTCTTCCTTTCTTCGTTTCCTCGACCGCGAGGCACGAGGTAAAAAGGCTCTGTCTAATTTTCGTTTTCCTCGACCGCGAAATACGAGATTGGTAAGAAAGTTCTTTCCTTCACCGCGAGGTAGAAGCCCTCTTTACCAGTCAGCATTGTTGTCCTGCTGAGTGGGATATTGCTGCGCGTCTTTTGGCCCTTGAATGGAGAGTGGGCAAAGAGAGGACAGTAATAATTTATTAATACATGCCCTCCTCCAAGAATGAAAGGGATGGCATATAATGCATTTTGTATAAAAACATGTCTTTAGGGTGGAGGAATTATTGTTGTTATATTGCGGAGGAGACATTCTTGTCGTTAAGGTGTGGTGGATTAATTGCTGCGTGCTTATTATTATATTCTGTTACACATTTGCTAAGTGATAAACTGATCACTTCTATTAAAGGAGATATGCACGTGATTAATACGATTAAAATGTTCCTATCCCAATTCTCTCTTCTCAAATTACTGCTGCAGTCTCTTCTGATAGTATACCTCAATCGTTAATGATCAAGATCATTCCATAAGGATCACAGGTAAAATGCTAGAAAAATGTCTTCTCGTTCGATGCTCTTATTATTATGTGAATGAAAAATTCTCATTGTACGCTCCGTGCTTTTTTCATTCGATCGTCGTATTACGAATCTCCAATCGCAAACATAATTATAATCACATTGGCATATATCCCTAAGCGCAATTCCAACTGAGGCAATATTCGGATACAGTTTCCCATCACTAAATTGTTAGCTGAGGGGTGAGTTTGGTTAGAGGGAGAGTATAATGAATATTGATTCCGCGTAATTCCTCGAGATTATGGGAATTCTCACATAATATAATGCGTCTTCGCAATCATTAATCCCCCAACTCGGTTTCCCATCTTGCTTTTATTCCCACAATAATACAGACTTGATAATCCTGGCACTAAATGGGTTGGCCAAAGTACGAACTGGTGCGGGAGCGTGAATCTGAGAAAGAGCCTAGGTTGCATATTCGTCACATATCTCAGGGACATGACGCTTTGGGCAACTTGACGAAGTATGAAAGTATCAAGTGTTCACTTGGCATTTTACCATTCTGACATTTGCGTGTCTCCGATTACGCGTTGTCGTTTTGTCACATCCCTAGAAAATCAGATCATTGCGCGTAAGCTGCTTTTATGGCCAAATGATAAGGCTTAGTAACATCAACGCCGATGAATATGTACTCAGATCGAGAATGAGACATACAAGCATGCTGCCCACCAATCACCTTCGGTCATACTCCTACTCTTTTTGCGGTAGTGCGCGAAACAACAAACATTGGTTTTGGATCACAGACGTAGTTGCTGCTCGAAGTTCCCTTGGACTTATGATAATAAAATGCTTCAAAAGCACCTATAACTCGAGCTCTTTGGGGCACGACCGGTAAAACATTTGCAAAGAATGTTATAGTTGATTCATATCATTTTCTCGTAGGTGTTATTAATTTTGCGGTCGATTGTTATAGCTTCTGCCAGAGCCGTTTTTACCGGCGGAATAATTGGCTTGGCGGCGCATGTTTTATATGCAGTACGGCAGGAATCTTACTGCAACAAACAACCCCAATGTCTGCCACCACATTTGAACAGCTTTGAAGAACTATTTTTCGGAATCTTGTACAAGAAGACATATCCGACGGACTGCGGAATTATGTAAGTGAAAAATACAGATCATGCAATGAGTCGGCACCCTACTAAATGAAGAAATAAAGATGTTCATACAATTTCTATGCAGATTGTGTCTTTCAAGAAGTCTGCAACAGCGGGTCTGGTAAAATGCAGGAGATTGGAAATTATGAAGGTCTTTCTCCTGAGAGTGCTCAATCTGAAGAAAGTTTTGTATGTGAGGTAATCGTTTGAATCGTAATTATATTATGACTTTGACTGACGCCTTCTTGATAACAAGTTCTCTTTGCTTCTGTCTTTAGCGAGGGTGCATCGTTACGTCCCAATGTGGCGGCAGCAGCAAAATCTTATATTCTTCGGAATGAGGTCAGACGTATATGCATTGGCGTCAAATGGCTTTTGCGGAGGTTTCTGTGATGGAATATATTACTGTATTAACGTTAAATGTGGTTGAAAGGAATCAATGGAAGGTCGGACGACCAGTAATACTGGTTACTACGTGGTCATGCGAAATGCAACAGTGGATGGAATATACCCATGTGTTTAGTGGATTTCAATCCGACAATTTAGAAAAGGAGATCGGATGAATGGACAATATTTGGGTGATGTTATACTACAAGGTAACTTCATAGGGGAAATATGATGTCGATTCTAAGAACTTTGAATTCTGTCTAGGTGTATCACGTGGTTCCCGGTTTTAATAAGGTGTGCAGTGGAATCAAAATCTTATGACAGCGCTGCCAAAAGAGTTGGCGAATTTTCGCAACAGGGGTTGCCTCATTTGAATCTCATTCGAGCTGAGTAAAACGGAGGTGTGTTTCGGATGATGGTTGACATGAGGAGTGATTCCTGGTGGCAGACAACAGGCCGGTATATTTCTGTCGACTAACGTACATATATTTGTAGTCGTGTATTCGATCCATCGGCAGGAAAACCATAATGCTATCGAATATGAATAATCAGAAGAACAAGACTTGAACATCTGGCTGAATATAGGCTTTAGCGTATTGAATCAGATAGGATGGTAATTAGGGGGGGGGGGGGGGGAATTCTCTACATAATCAATCCAATTTCACATACCAATGATGCTTCTGATATACATAGTTTGCTAGAAAACGTTTATTTGTACGTGTCAGTACAAACAACAAGTTGAACATATACTAGGCTTTTAGAGTTATTCTGATTTGGTCGCAGTCTTCGTACCTCTCGATGACTTTTTGAAGCCACTGCGATTATTACAAGTTCCAAATGTTTGAAAGGAAATCATGATATGTTACCAAGCCATGGACAAGGCTTTATCGTCATCACCTAAGGCCTAATGCGGCATCCGGTCCTAAAATTCATTAGGATTCGCAACATGTTCAGATTTCTGAAGAGGATGAATATTAATATGAGTGTATACCAATCTTCCATCCACATTCCATCTTCTATATATATAATGCGCTAGAGGGTGAAAAGCTAGTTCTTTCAGATTGCTTCGAAAACTTGGTTAATTGAGATTTCCCAACTTTAAGTTAGGGGGCAGATTAGGTGTTATTAATATTTAAAAAATACCTATTACTATTACAGTATAAGTAAATTAACAAATCAGGCATTGTAACACGAATATTTGAGCGAGATAACGTTACAGAGACCAACACAGAACCATAAGTAATAAAAACCAAAGGGGGTGCAGGAACGCAAGCTTACAATAAGCGAATCGCTCTCCAACTCTACCAACTCCAGTTTGGCGGCTTGGGCATGAAGTTCAAGTTAATGATATATACTGTACTAAATGGTTAGCGAAATTTTTTTTCACTTACGCATGGGGACGCTTAACATTTAAGGCAAATTTCACTGTGAAATTTGTCTGCTGCAAAACATAAATGTACTTATGCCATGTGGGATGTTATATCGATATGTTATTCTACTCGTACGACTGGTGATTTTATTTTGGGGGGATTGCTTGATGTTTTGTAATGTGGTTGGCCAGACAGACTTCGGCACCACATAACCTCCTCACCACACCTGCAGCATACCAAAATATGTATAGAGATATCAGGACTTGGTCAAATATTATCGCAGGGAAGTATTCGTTGACCGGAGTTTATTACAGCATTACAATTCATGTGTCCCAGTTATGGATATAATAAAAATATTCCCATTTATAGTAATAATGTCAAATTAACAGAATTTAACGCTTAGAACTATGTTAAGATATTGATGTGCTGATGGGAAATTGGGGCAGAGGCTTTTTTGATCTTCATGTAGATCAACTTTTTCGTCACATCCAACTGTTCCCATGATCGATTTTCACGATAATGTGCGTATACTATATCAATATCTGCCGGTTATTATTAGACAATGTTAACAATAATGCGTTAATAAATTCATGCTATTAAACAAAAGTACTGTATCTGTGTGTATTTGAAAAATGGGCAAACACCCTCTTTTTACATATCATATTGATAAGCACGCCGGTAAGAATGTGGGTGATCATATGACACTACCAAAATAATTGAGCAAAAAAAAAAGCAAGGCAGTCCACAAGCAAAGACATTTCATACCAACAAAGTCTTTGCTCGCTTGAACGAATAACAACTATGTATTAGTATCTTCGCTGTTTGAATTGAACGGATAGTGACTCCGTGATTTTATCCATATAAGGCAAAGCGTGTGTAATCACATATTATCATTTATTCTTTGACAACGAAAAGCGAAAACGATTTAATTATTCGAAGTGTTATACTATTTTCTCTATAGAAAGTCATTCAATAGCATATTGGATCACAGTGTGATTACTTGAAAAAAGCAAGTTATGACCTGTCAAACGATGGGAGGAATATTAACTATCTCGACATGAATTAGAATTTTTTAAAACGAAAGTGCAAGAGTTTTTTACCATCTTATATTTTTGCTGCGTACTGAAAATTAACAAACGAGTATATTGGACTTAACATTACACAATAAGAAATTATATACTTACGACGTATTATAGTTTGCATATTTGAGCCCATACGGCTACATTACCTACTCTCCTCTCCAAGTCTATATAAACAATTTCTATTGGTACACAAAGTATAGATGTCAAGTGTATATGTATTTCCATTTAATAATAATACGCCCAAACTTATTCTGTATTGGTGCTTTCCAGTGTTGGCTACACTACTCATTGATGCAACGCTATAATCTTATGTATCAATAACAAAAGCGCATATCGCCACCATTAATAATCAATAGGGTCAGAACCTATACTTGTTTGTGGGTAGCAAAAAGACATATTAAGTTTTATTCAAGCACTGACGTTTAATACAGCGATAACAGATATGATAAGCATTGTTCTATAGATAGCACTATGGTTGTATAACATGCTGAAACTCAACACGTATACTCAACTATAAAGTTGTAAAACTCATCTATCAGATAAAAAGAATGTGCTGTGCGCATTCAATGTATGGGATACCCAGTCTGATATGCTCTAGTCATAGAATCCATTCGAGAAGATTAGATATTTTGTCATAGTGACGATCATCAGTTATGTATCCTGCATAATAATAGTAAAATAAATATTCTCGAGAATGTTAAGATGCTAATGGTACAGATGACAGTGCCTGAGATGCAGCAGATAATACATTGTAGAAATTGCATAAGGCCTGTATTGTATGTAGTTACATTTCATATCTCTAACGTATATAATACGTATGCATGTTTACATATTATTGGATATATCAAACATCAACTATATCAGATATTTCTAATATACACGATTATTTAAATGTTATCATGCATAGATGTCACCGATTAGGCAACTTGCATAAGCCATTGATTACGTTATTGCTGTTCTCACACTTTCATGTGTCCTGAATGTTAGTTCACTATTAATAAATCAGTTGAGATGGAAATTATGATATTGCACAGTTGGTTTCGTGCCATTTATTAGGCGCGCAACTAAGGTGGACCTCTAAGGTTGTTTGATATGACACAGTTGGGTTCACTTGTTCTAATCATAGAACAAAACGATTTCAATTTTGCTGCTTAAACTTATTCGTTAGATAAATTATATGTGTAACTCAATTCAATAAATTCTAAATTAAATTTAAAGAGTACTTTGTCATTCTCAAGTGACTTCGCATGTACGCTATCTGTGCGATCTTTGGTTACGAATGCTGTTAGCATTCATAAAGTCACCAGACACGTTTCCTATAATTGTTTTTATACAGTTTGAACTATACAATATTGTCTCTTCCACAGAACAAGCCAAAAATGGTTTAGACATGCATACACATCTGGCGTATTACCCAATCCAAATTGACCAAGTATCCCAGCATAAACTTAATATAAAATTTATAATACCAGCATGTATAAAAAAAATTACAATAGAATGACAAGCTTGTTCACTGACAAAAAAATTTTTTTCTTATTTGTTGGTTCGGACATGAAAAACTTACAATTATTAATTGTATTTTCTGTATGGAATACTCTGTACTTCTTCATTAAACAAGTTCGACTTTCTTTATTGTTTACAGCGCCAAGTAATTGTTGATAGAGAAGAGTACGTAATACAATAACAACAAAGAGTATTCTACAACAATTACCTTTCATTGTTTATGCATTAAGTATTTTTTTCAATGAACAACTAAACAGGTTTGACTTTCCTCATTTTCTGCGACAAGATATGTAATACAACAAAGAATGTTCTATAACAATTGCCTTTCATTGATTATGGATTAACCTTTTAAGTATTTTTTTTCAATGAACAACTAAACAGGTTTGACTATCTACATGCCAAGTGATTATTGATAGAGAAGATACGAAATACAAAGAAAATGTTCTACAACAATTGCCTTTGATTGTTCATAGTTTAACTTTTTACGGTATTTTTTTCAATGAAATCAATAAACAGGTTTATATTTAACTTTCTACACGCCAAGTGTTTGTTCATAGAAAATATACGTGATACAACACAGAATAGTCTACAACAATTGCCTCCTTTTACCGTATTTTTTTAATAGAAAAAAAAATTGTAAATCATTTTTTAGAACAACCAAACAGGTTTGACTTTGTTTTCTGCAACGGCAACTGATTTCTGATAAAGAAGATGCGTAATACAAAAAAATTTGCCTTTTGTCTAACTTTTTCCGTAATCTTTTCAATGAAACACTGAACAGGTTTGATTTTCTACAATGCCAAGCTATTGTTCATAGAAAAGATACGTAATACAGTAAAGAATGTTCTACAACAATGTATTGCGTTTGTATGTTCAAATGAAGCTAAAATTACAATGAAAAATGATATGTAATATTAAAATAGCTTACGTATTAATATTATGATAGATAGCATGATGTCAGAATTTCCTTGTCTCTTGTATGATTCCTTGTGGCAAATTCTAGTTTGGGAGAGAGGCAATTTGCCAAATCCTATGGTTATATAAAGCACACATTTACAGCCTTTCGAAAATTATGTCGAAAAAATACAGACATAAAAACCATTGCATACAAAAAACCCATCGTCTCTTACTCTCCAACCAAAAAATCATAAAACTGAATAATAATCCTTTTTTAAAAAAGACCACTCCAACAAAAACGTTGCAGTCACAATTAAATTTCTTTAAAACGATGCGGCCATCCCCAACACAGTTGCAATCCTGCTACCGCGTGGACTTGGATTTTGTCGGCCTGTCAGCCATCACGCCTGGGCCCTCCAACGGGGAAGAAGAAATTAAATTCTTTGCGGTTAGGGCACGTTGCCCTTCGACAATTACCGGGCCTTCCGTGTGAACAAGCTCACATGGAAAAGAAGTTGAACGTCTTGGCTGTCATTGCACGTCGCTTGGCAGTCATTCATAGTCGAGGTCGACCTGCGACCGTTCCCGCCAGAGGTATACAGTTCATGGCGGGTTTCCCAAGGCTGGCCACTTGACAACGCCGCTTTGGGATTCAATCAAGATTACCGATACTGAACGCAGCCGGCTTGAAAATCCACCGTTAAAGTTGTCTTTACCCGTAGCAAAATTGATTTCACTATCAACTACGGGCAAACAAAAGCCGCTCTGCATGTTTTTGATCTATAAAAAAAACTATGCGGCGAGCTTATTAAAGGCAAAAAAGCCACTTCCTCAAAACTTACGGAAGAGGCCAACGAAAAGTGGATGTCGCCTTTGGAATAATCATGCATATTGGCCTTTCGCATTCAACCCAACCACCTCTCGGGCCACATGAAGAGTGGCAAAAATAGACATTTTTTTGGTCTCCTTTTTTTTAAAAAATAAATAAATTAAATAACATGTATTTAACGTCTGTTATTATCATACATACTTTTTATATAGAACATTATTTTTAAAAATTTTATTTTCAAGATTGTAACTATTATCCTGCAGACATATAATAAAACTATACCATCAAACCGTCAAAAAAAAGCAATTTCGCTCGTTTATTTCAAACATCCTTTTAGTACTGCCCGCAAGAACGTTCGCATAAAACGCCTACAAGTCGAAGTTTTTGAATTGAAGAAATTTACAATTACGTGTATAATAAACACGTCCCGGCGAAACATGTTATCATGTCCGTCTTTGCTCAATTATAGTCAAAACGAATATTTGTAAAATCGTTCTTTAAATTTACACTTTTAAACATCAGTGTATATCAGCCACTTTGCTATTACGTCAGAATTGTTATTTATAGCTGGAGCATGTTACACATCATTCTTATCAACCCGACACATATGCGTCTGACTTACCGGTGAGACAGGCTCAGTCTTTGCATCATATGCTTCTTTTGAAGTTGAATCTTGCCTTGAAGCAGCGTGTATTTGCTGTTCGCATTTCAGGGTTTGGAGATCGCAACGTAGATCTGAGTCATTAAGTTGTTCGGCCCATGGAGAGAGGGAAGGGAATGATAAACTCGAGAGGAAGGGATATACGAGGAGGGATATGATTACAATAACGATAAAAAGCAATAACCGAGTTATTCGAATCTGTTAAAATCCATTTAACTTTCTTGTCGTCATTTACGCATATTTTCAGCACTAAGAGATCAAATCTTCCCCCATTAATTTCAAATTCAGTTTTCAACCTCTAGATATTTGATTGCTACAGAATTCAACATAATCGTAACGCGATTTTGAACACAAGAATGTAGCTAAGACTAGAACATAACGCAAGTAACGGTTTTTTGGTGACAGCATGGGAAAAATAGAAAATACGTGCTTTGTGGCGTAGAAAATCTAGTAACAGCAAAATGTATATAAGGAGCCGTCCCGACCATCAAAAATCCTCATGTTATGTTATGTTGAAATCATTGATGTTATAAAACAAATAATATTCGATACTGAAGTATTCGGATATAATAATCGATCTGATATTTATCCTTTAATTAAATACGAAACTTTTTACTTTCATTATTTCTATCGTCGTGAAAACTAAGCTTTTTGACTTAACTATCGGCAGCAGATCGGTAACGACCCGTAGCTGTATTTAAACTTTAGTTGTCAGCGCAATAGATCGGTAACGACCCGTAGTTGCGGTAAAGCAAGAGTATCTCGATTGATAATTTAAATTCTTTGTTGTTATAATTAGATAAGTGACATCCCTGACTAGTCAAACCCTAAATCGAAGTTCGCCCTGTTTAAAATTAGAAAAAGAAAATTTCCCCTTCGATTCCGCGGTAGATAGATTGTTGTTGTTTATTTATCGTGGGTACCCTTATTTAGATACGAGTATAGGAAATACATCGTATAGGGAGTGAAGAGAAGCGCGCACATAATTTTTGTCACTTTCAATTTTCTATCGGTCTTCCGAAATATCGGTTTTGAGAGATTATTACATTTGATTGGTAGACAATTACATATAGTAAATTAAGAAATTGTGAATGTAATAACTTTATTATGTGCCACCATTGATAAAATTGTCAACTTGTGATTGACTTAATTGAAGCAATTTCTGGTTTTAATGAACGCAGAACTGATAATGCCTTCTTATTGAAGACAAAGCCACTGGGCGAATCATTGACAAATCGCATTAGGTTGTCCACACTTGCTAAAGCTGTTTTTAATAAAATTATAGGCTGTGGTTCATATTTCTTGTCACTTTTTTCTTCTTCTTTTTTCTTCGTCTTCTTCGACGTTCTGTACGGTTGCAATAATATAATTATCGGTAAAACGTTCAATAGGTAATTGTTCATAAATACAAATATAAAATATAATCAGTAACCAACAACGGCTCATCCATCCCTAGCTGAGTAATACAATGCTGTATGTCTTCAATTGTGTTATCTATACACTATGGGAAACAAGGCGTATCGGTATCTACAAGATTAACATTAATCAATAACATTAAATGATACTCTGATGATGTGTAACAGAGAAAGCTTTGCTATTGGTTATAGAGCTTAAATTCTTATACAAACGTGACAAAATAATATCAGTTATCGGTATTGCGCGATGTTATATAAAATATCGGTCTTCCGAACAAATTTTGTTATTCGTGTTTTGGGGATTAGAAAAATTATCAGTTTTAGCATTATCGGGTTTCCGAGCTTTGACTGCATTGGGCGAAGGACCACGGTTTATAATGTTATTGCAAAGGTACAGTTTTTGTTGAGAATTCAAAAGGTTAAAAGCCACACAAACCATAATGACAACTGCATTGCTACTAGATACATTACACTCTGTTTATTGATAAATTGTTATTTATAAAATGTTAAAGAAAACCAAAATAATAAATAAATAAATATGTATGTATACTATACGTCTGTTTTAATTTCTACATATTAATGTTTGTATAATTCATAAAACTTAATGTGCCAACTTCTGGCGTATTTGTATAATCATGATTATTTATAAAATTATACTTACTATCAATATTGTAGTCATAACTATTTGTAAAAACATAATAATAATTGTTTATAATAACATAATTATTATTATTTATACCATACTCGTAATTGTTTATAACAGCATAATTGTTATTATTTGTGTCATACTCGTAATTGTTCATAAAACCATAATTTGTTTCCATATTGTAGTTATTATTAATCATAAAATTATAACTATTTTCCATATCAAAGCTATTATTATTAAAAGCATAATTGGTTTCCATATTAGTGTCTATAAAATCTTGATTGTTTTCCATATTATTATTTATAAAATTAGAATTATAATTCATAGAGTCATAATTGTTTTCTATATTATTGTCCATAAAATTAAAATTGTTATTATTAAAAGCATAATTGTCATAATTATTTTCCGTATAGTTTGGCGGCAAGCTTTCCGCGGATGGCCCAACAGTAGCGGTGGGGTTGGCGGCAAATGCAATTTCTTCGACCGCATTCTCCAAAGGGGCTTTTTTCTGCGGTTGTTTTATAGAAGAAACGTGTTCATATAGTGCGGTGCGCATCAAGGTTTCGATCTTAAGGCTCATTTTGATTAGTATTGTAGTTAGCGTAGTGGTAGTGGTAGTAAATGTAGTGGTAGTAGTAGCAGTAAGTGTAGTTGCGGTAGTGATAATAATTCAGCAGTGAACTGGCCGTACGTAGCGAAGCACTGCGTTTATTTATACGTTTTTGTGGGATGACGAATTTTCGAAATATGCTGCTATTTACAAAGCGGTAACGTACCAAACGTTCAGTGTATAATATAAGGGTTAATTTAAACTTCTTTTCAAACATTGGTCTCTTTTTAGAGGATTAATGTGATGTAAGCCTTATGTATAACAGAAATAAACACTTTAATAACAGAATGTTAATAAAAAAAAATAATACAAATAGTATTATTTGAACAATCGATAGGCTTTTGAAAATAATTCTGCTCGTCCAATTTTTTTTCCATTTCTCATTTGAGAGTTGTTAAATCTAAGCATAGAAAACTTGTCATAAGAAATAACATAACGCAAGTGCGACGGCATACATTACATATTGTTGCCATTGAAAGCGTCTAGAAGCAATTGGAAAATTTATATATCTGCATCCATTGGATTTCAACCGCCAATCAATAGAACACAATTATGCTCAATATAACTTATATAGATGTTACTATATGCGGCAATTGTTAAACCGCTCATTTTTTAATACAGATACAATTAAAAAACTGCATACCGTATTGTTTATAGACTAAATTTTTCATAAATAGATTCACGTTTCAAACTCCAAGAGAGCCAATTATTGTCAAGCATATAAGTTACCGTTTATTTCATTTCCATGTTTATAGTAAAATAATGCTTGTTTAATGTGTTCTAGGCTACATTGATAAGATTTCGGGAAAGGAGAAAAAATTTGTTAAAAATTTCCTTTGTTTACAGTGACACATTTTTATACAACTATTACCCATAAATAACTATCTATGCCCAATTTTACAATAGAACATTTCTTAAGTTACGTACCTGCCATAAAGTCAGCGCCAAACAAATTTGAAACACTGCATTCCATTGATGCTTGATTTTATTTTGGAGCATAGAAGTGCGCGTTTCTAATGCGAAGGTTGACTGGTGAAGCAGCTGCCCCAATTAATTGTCCCGACTATTGCATCCTAATACCAGGGTCGAGCATCCAGTGTGGTTTCAATCAGCTAAGGTAAATTTTAGTATTAATATCTAATGAAAGAGGTTTTGATGCCTTCCGACTTCTTAACCTTTATAATTAGCGTGAGTTTTTTGCACTAGACCCGCTAATACATAGAATGTATGTTGTCTTGTTAATTTGCTGGTTACTTTAACGTTTATGGGGTCATTATGTGTGTAACAAATAGAGGACGTCGTTGCGCATGATCGACAGAAACTCAGGGGCGTGTTAACTCTGGTTACAAGCGTACAATGGACGGATCCATTCTTCAATGGCAAGCTCGTCAATACTTTAAAATAGAATTAGTTCATTCGCCATATCAAATAATATTGCGTGTATATACGCGGACCAAACTTTGATAATATAAAGGTTGTTTCTAATAAGTTGTTACAAATATCCAAACATGTCAATAGCCCCCATAATTGACATGAATAATAAATAATGTTTCACGGTTCGAATTTCATTCATGACCGGAACAAATGAAAAAATGTGGGACATTCAGAAGCTAGGAAAAGTCTTACCGTATAAACTATTTATTAACAGAATCTTAGCGAATTTAGTAATTATTGCTGCTGTAAGAGTACAGAGATTCATAATATTGAATATCTAATTAATTAATAAACAAACTCAGTTGATATTAGCGATTATATAACTCTAACTTTTATACTATATCAAACAGACTAGGAACGCTTACTATTATAACAAAACTATTTGCAGTTAACACGTCCTATAATAAATTACCATTTACAACGATGAATGGTATTTATATAAACGTTTAACCGATGCATTATTAAGTGTAAAAGATATGCGACATGTTACTCAATTACAAAATTCATTTTACAGTGTCAATTTCTGGATTTGTAAATCATTCAACCTTACTCAAGTAAACGTTTTCTCAATAACAATATACTGTATACAATAACTTTTCTAATGATGAACCAAAAATAACATTACATACATGACTATTTAGCTAATTTATTTATTTGACCATGACACAAACAGTAAAGTGACACATATTGTTTGTTCGGTCAGGTCTTGTTATAATAAACGCATACAAATTCGTTTTTAGTAACTATTTTATTATATGGATTACGTTTAATGTTACCATAAATCGTGTACGGAAAATCTAATTTAAGTGTTATTTCCAAATTATTTGTTATGTTTAAATCAAAAACCAAGGAGGCACTCCAACTGTAACGTATTAATTTAGATACCATTCATATCTTACTTCCGATAATTGTAATATAACTTTGGCTGTACCGGCTAAATTCGTGACGATAAACCACACAACAGAAACATGTAATGATAACACTACGCTACCATGATTTTATAGAATTAAGCAAGTTATTATCTTTTGCATCTTTTTTCAATAAGTATTGCAAATTAAATACAATAATACGCA